CAATCAGGTGGCTTAATTGCTGTACCATGAATTTTATAAACCAATCAGATGGCTTAATTGCTGTATCATGAATCTTATAAACCAATCAGGTGGCTTAATTGCTGTACCATGAATCTTATAAACCAATCAGATGGCTTAATTACTGTACCATGTAAGATTTTAATTCTTCTTGACACGATAACTTCTGAGTAAATTTTGACATCGATGTGATTTCCAAACAAACTTACTCCTTTCTAGTATTTATATCAACATTACTGCTTAATCAGTTCATATTTGAACTATTTGTTCTATATCCTAGACCAGATGCAGTGGTTGACTTTTGGCTTAAAGAATTGTGGGAGAAATTACTTACCATGTATCCATTGCCTCAAGGGAAAGAGATGATAAGTGCAGATGTTTGGTAAGTGTAAACAATTTCTAAATGTCACAGGTAAATGATGTCATCTTGACTTCAGTACAGGGTTGTTGATAATTAAAACATATGCATAGCAACTTAATCTCTTAACATTCCCTTCTCTCCCCTTTAACCTTTACACTATCTGTTCGCTCTTTTCATCACGAATTCTCAAAATAGTTCTGTTTATAGTCTGCACTTTCCTTCGGAAGATTGGAACAAAAATAGCCATGTTTTTGGGTAAAAACTGAAAATTTACTGTTTGTTCCAAAATTATGGTTCATTTCCAGATATATTAAAAAATATAAGGAAAACAATGCAGAAAAATTTGGGCAAGAAAGTCTGGTGGTGAATAGGTTATATAAAATTTATATAAATTTTATATATAATTAAATGTAATTCATTTGCTGTGCACTTGTTTAATTATTCATGACCTCTCACCTCAGCCTCACACACAGGCATACTTATGCTAGTGTATTCCTCTCTTTTTTCAGTCCACTTTCTAAGTATAGAGTGGAATTTGTCGAATCAGTGAGCGAAAAATTGCAATATCAGACAGAGAAGATAAGCCATTTCCATGGTAACATACCAAGCCAGAAGAATCCATTATATGCTAAGCTGATCAGTAATGAAAGAGTGACCGCCGCTGACCACTGGCAAGATGTAAGATTGGTGAAAATAGATATCACAGGTTCTAATGTAAGGTAGGTTGTCAGCAGTGAAAGACTGACCACTGGAAATAGTGACTGCCACCACTGGCAAGAGTGACTGCCACTGACCACTGGCAAGATATAAGATTGGTGAAAATAGATATCGCAGGTTCTAATGTAAGGTACAATGTAGGTTGTCAGCAGTGAAAGACTGACCACTGGAAATAGTGACTGTGACCACTGGCAAAAGTGACTGCCACTAACCACTTGGCAAGAGTGACTGCCACTGACCACTGGCAAGAGTGACTGCTATTGATCACTGCCAAATGTGATTGTCACAGACCACTGGCAAAAGTGACTGCCACTGACCCCTGGCAAGAGTGACTGTCACTGACCACTGGCAAGATGTAAGATTGGTTGAAATATATATCACAGGTTCTAATGTAAGGTAGGTTGTCAGCAGTGAAAGACTGACCACTGGAAATAGTGACTGCCACTGACCACTGGAAATAGTGACTGCCACTAACCACTGGCAAAAGTGACTGCCACTGACCACTGACAAGAGTGACTGCCACTGACCACTGACAAGAGTGACTGCCACTGACCACTGACAAGAGTGACTGCCACTGACCACTGACAAGAGTGACTGCCACTGACCACTGGCAAGAGTGACTGCCACTGACCACTGGCAAGAGTGACTGCCACTGACCACTGGCAAGAGTGACTGCCACTGACCACTGGCAAGAGTGACTTGTATATTATATTATATTCTTCAATACTTCTTGAAGTGAACCCTAATTGTGAAGCTAATAAATAAACTTGGAATCAATTTTATGTTTTTACTCAAAAAATTTGCCTATTTTTGTCCCAATCTTCCAAAGAAAAGTGCAGACTATAAACTATTTTGTGAATGTGTGATGAAAAGAGGAAACTGGTGGTGAAAGGGCTAACCTTATTTCATTGATTTCATTAACATGGGCAAGCAATCTAATCGGATGGCCTCCCCTGGTGATCACTATAACAGGACACCAGTGTCAGAATTTAGAAGCGTGTGTACAGGATGGAATTGTAGATCAGGTATTTTGACATGTCTGGAGCCAGATCTCCAGATGTGTTGAACCAGATGTGTTGGCTAATTTACCTCAAACTAGATGAAAGAAGTAACCACATGGGTAGCTGGTTCACCTAATTTTGATTTATAAATTTGACACAAAATGGCCAACTGGCAAAATCTCCGATTTCTGGTGTGAAGTTTATGATACATTGTATAAACTAGATAACATAAAGTCATGGTTATTAGGATATTTTGTGAATACTTGTTTGTTTTGTTTATTCATAGTTACTGCCCAGGTGATGTTGCTATGATACAGCCAGCTAACTTGTCAGATGCAGTTGAAGACTTTCTAAAATTGATGCAGTTAGATGCAAATCAACAATTTGTTCTCTCACAGAATGATCCAGGTACAATATATTTATTAGCACTCCCTTGAGTCAGATTGTTAATTGTATCCCCTAACCCATGTTATTGTGACTATTCACCTCGTCTGTCAATTGAGTTCAGTCATCTTTACCTGATGACCTAGAGTTAGTGCATTTTGAAAGCAATAAAGTCCTTATCTTTACAATGACCTTATCTGGCAATGATGAAGAATTCTTCTAAATGAAGCTGTCTGCATGGCAACTGGATGCACATCTCTCTAAAATGCTTATAAGTGATTTGTTCTTGTGTCAATGGCGGCCCTCTTTGGTCGAGGTAACAATGTTTTCAAACTCAAAGATGATAATGTTGAATGTTTCCCGAATATTTAATTTAGATATAAACATGCGACTCCTATCTTATGGTAGTAACTCCTACCTTATTCAGTCTTTAATATAATATAATCCCTTTCTTGTTTACTTTGTTTACAGATGTCCTGTTGCCATATCAACTACCTCAGCCATGTTCCATTAGACACTTAGTAACATATTACTTTGATCTCAACGCCATACCAAGAAGATGGTTTTTTGAGTTATTATCCCATTTTGCAACAAATGAACTTGAAAAAGAAAAGTTACAAGAGTTTGCATCAACAGAGGGTCAGGTAAAGTCACTATTATCTCTGCTGGCACATTGCAGAGTGTGAACTCAGTTTTGTCGTAGTTCACCTTGCACTCATTAAATCATCCATACACTATTCTTGCAAGCTTTGCAGAATATGTAGAAGATTATTTGTGACCGAGAATGCTGTTTAACTGACAGTGGTTTTCATATTAAAGGTGCAGTTCTAATAAATATGAGGTTACTTCCAAAATATCAGAATTAATTTTTGAGTACATCTTACAGCAGAAATATTGTCTGAGACACATAATATTAACCTTTTCACCACCAAACTTTTTTTTATATTTTTCAATATTTCTGGAAATGAACCCTAATTTTCAGTTTTTATTCCAAAAATTTTTCTATTTTTTTTCTGAATCTTCTGAAGGAAAGTGCAGACTATAAGTGAGACTATTTTGTGAATCTCTGATGAAAAAAGGGAACAGGTGGTGAAAAGGTTAATATCAGTACTAAGGCATGCAATGTTTGATAAATTCTGAGTGTTCATTTTTCTGTTGTTTTTTTCACACTTGATCAAATCCGGATAATGGTCATACCATGGTTCCTCATGTCATGTACAAGCTAGACACATAGTCTGGTACATGTATTTGTGTTGTCACGTTAATAAACATTGCATGTAGTACAAATAGTACTTGAAATAACTTACTCACTGATAATATCAGCTGCTGATATGTCCTGTTCATACAAGGTTATGCAGTCAGTATATTTCAATTGAATCATCTATGTTGTTTTGAACACAACAAATATATTCCATGTGAAATGTAACCTGACTAACGGATGTTTTTATTGTGATTACATTGACCAGCTGATGAACTCAAATGGTCAAGCAAAATCCAATAGTTGTGTAAATGTGCTTAGATATTGTACTTATCTGATTATTAGATGCAAATATTGGAATTTATTTTAATGTGAAACTCGACAAGTTACAGTAATATTGTATAATGTTAACATTTTTGTTTTTCAGCAAGAATTATTCACTTATTGTAACCGTCCAAGAAGGACTACTTTGGAGACATTATCAGACTTTCCTCACGCTGTATCTTCAATACCATTCAAATATCTATTTGATTTACTGCCTCCAATCCAATCCAGGGCTTTCTCCATTGCATCATCCATACAGGTAGGTCAAAGGTCGACATAAACCAGGGATATCTTTAATGTGATTGCCTGGGGTTGTTCTGAGTAAACATGGCAACCAAAGGTATTTAGTGATTTCATCATTTATCATCCATACAGGTAGGTCAAAGGTCGACATAATCCAGGGATATCTTTAATGTGATTGCCTGGGGTTGTTCTGAGTGAACATGGCAACCAAAGGTATTTAGTGATTTCATCATTTATCATCCATACAGGTAGGTCAAAGGTCGACATAATCCAGGGATATCTTTAATGTGATTGCCTGGGGTTGTTCTGAGTGAACATGGCAACCAAAGGTATTTAGTGATTTCATCATTTATCATCTTTTCCCCAAGCTAACTCAGTCTGTTTATCAAGCATCTGTCATATGTTGCCTCTCTTGTGATATATCACATTATGAATCATTCATGGGGCAGGCTAGAAGCACCCAAGGTTACCAAGGCATCAAATTGAATACATCCCAGGTATATTCACATGCATAAATTACCGCAGCGTGACGTAAGACTGGGCAGATCACATACTGTTACATACTGCCAAATGTTTTTTCATTGTAAACGCTGCCTGAAAACTGTCTGAATTTTATATGGTTGGATAACAATGTTTCATGTTGGCAAGCTCACATGTGTATTTTTAGCTCCGCTATCGACTTAGTTGAGTGGAGCTTATCATATGAGTGATTGCCCATCACTATTACTTTTTCGACTTTTACTTGAAAACTACAATTGTTATTGCTTTGATACTTGGTGTATATGTACCTTGAGCAGACCTCTATCAAATTTGTTCATTTCATGATGATATCTTCAATTCTCTAATTTTGATGAATATATTTGGCATTTTAGGTGAAAAGTGATATTTTCAAATTCTTGTTTAAAACAGAAAGACTGATTGCTTTAATACTATACATATTGTTAATTTTCTAATAATATCTTCAGTTTTTTAAATTAACTATCTCAGCCGACAGGCTGCTTGTTGGAATTAACTAGTCCCTCTAAAAACTCGGTCGACATTTTAAAAAAAACCTAAAGAATTTGAGCAACTATCAATGTGAATGAGCAGAATTGCATACATCGTACACAAAATGTTCATGTGAAAATAGAACACCCTGGCGTCAACAAATTAGCTTATCAGACACAGGCAATGATATATTTGTATTCAGTGTTATTTCAGCAATAGTTTCACTGTCAATACTCTGCCGTTTAACGCCTGCAACTCTGATTGATACAAAACTCTGGCATCACTTATCACTTGTGCCTGCTGATGTCAACCTAAATAAAAATATCGTGGGATTATATATAATAACGTTGTGTCATTCATACTACATGTCAAAAGTCAATACAACAGTTCTTTCACCATTGTATCATCTGTAGAAGTCATTACAACTCATATGCTTATAGATATGTCAAAGGTGAGAGTGTAGATTACCTTGACAACAATCATGAAAACTTCTCTGCAATATTCACAAATGTAAACATACACATCAAGACTTCAATTGTTCTACACAATTTTAATGGAAAAAACATTTTTTTATATATAAACATTCATGCCCTTATGAAATTCACCTACATTAGTTTCACTATTGTCTACTTCACTATAGGCATATCCAAATGAAATACACCTACATTAGTTTCACTATTGTCTACTTTACTATAGGCATACCCAAATGAAATACACCTACATTAGTTTCACTATTGTCTACTTTACTATAGGCATACCCAAATGAAATACACCTACATTAGTTTCACTATTGTCTACTTCACTATTGGCATATCCAAATGAAATACACCTACATTAGTTTCACTATTGTCTACTTCACTATAGGCATACCCAAATGAAATACACCTACATTAGTTTCACTATTGTCTACTTCACTATAGGCATACCCAAATGAAATACACCTACATTAGTTTCACTATTGTCTACTTCACTAAAGGCATATCCAAATGAAATACACCTACATTAGTTTCACTATTGTCTACTTTACTATAGGCATACCCAAATGAAATACACCTACATTAGTTTCACTATTGTCTACTTCACTATAGGCATACCCAAATGAAATACACCTACATTAGTTTCACTATTGTCTACTTTATTATAGGCATACCCAAATGAAATACACCTACATTAGTTTCACTATTGTCTACTTTACTATAGGCATACCCAAATGAAATACACCTACATTAGTTTCACTATTGTCTACTTTACTATAGGCATACCCAAATGAAATACACCTACATTAGTTTCACTATTGTCTACTTCACTATAGGCATATCCAAATGAAATACACCTACATTAGTTTCACTATTGTCTACTTCACTATAGGCATACCCAAATGAAATATACCTACATTAGTTTCACTATTGTCTACTTCACTATAGGCATATCCAAATGAAATACACCTACATTAGTTTCACTATTGTCTACTTCACTATAGGCATATCCAAATGAAATACACCTACATTAGTTTCACTATTGTCTACTTCACTATAGGCATACCCAAATGAAATACACCTACATTAGTTTCACTATTGTCTACTTCACTATAGGCATATCCAAATGAAATACACCTACATTAGTTTCACTATTGTCTAC